GCTAAAATGCTAACAGCACAAAAGTTCACAGTAGGTCTTTTTGGATACACAGCTTCAAATATCTAACATACATTTCATGGAGAAACAGTGGGGAATTGTTAAGGGTGTAATGTCTGAAGCCCATCGCATAGGGACTTGGTGGTGAAAGAGACAATTACCCAGAAGAACTTTTATTTCTAGCTTTTCTGGTTGGACCCCTCAATAATGTTAATCAGCAGCTTCTTCCTCCCTTTCCCATCCATTGTCTTACAAAATATTTATTCCAGAAAGTTGAAGAAAACCCCAAAACTTGGTCAGGCACTGTTTTTTGACAGATGGAAGTGTGCTGTGCAAGGGCTTAATTTGGCTGGATTTTAATCTGATTGATTTGGCTGGATTTTAAACTGATTTTAATCAGTTGAACTGTCACCTGATCCAGAATTGTGGCTTGCCACAGATGTGTGCAAACATGCTGAAGATAGTACTATGGAATCAGTTGTGTTTTGTTCTTAAAGGTAAAACAACTTATTTGCATGGATTTTCTCCTGTAAGGGGTTTGTATGGTGGTATCTATCAAGTGCATAAAATTAGACTGTTTGAATCGAGTTCAGCAGATTCAGTGTAGTCTGACTGAAAGCTAGCTATATCTGTTAGTTGACTTTTGCTGTCCTGGGCATTGCGTTTTTGGATTTTCTTTTCACTGTGGTCTTTAATGAGTCTGTCTGAATGCTTATTTTGAAGCAAGAGCTTGACATTAAAGAACTGAGTGTATCTCGAAGGTGTGATAAGGCCATCAGTGTTGAATATTATGGGGGTTGATCCTTAAATAGGATGTAGCCTGGAGGCCCAGAAAGTCTTTTGCATCTATTGAAGGGGAAGAAAAACCCACTAATCTTAACTATCACTTGAAAGGTTAAAGCAGGAGGCACTGACATCTGTTTTAGGAACTTGAGCAGAACGAGGGTGAGATGAGAGAGAGCAAGGAACACAGGTAGGGTTTTTTGCTTGTTTGGTCTGACTGTGCTTCCTCTACCCCCGCCTCTTGCCAACAGGGGAAAAAAAGTGTGAAATGCATCTAGCAAATACTTTTAAACTTGTTTTTTGGTTTTTTTTTTTTTCTTTTGAAAGTACTGAAGGATATTTCAGTTTCTCTGGTGCTTGGAAGGAGGATTAGACAGGGAGTTGAGGGGGGGAAAAGTGAGTATTAGACATACAGGTGTACATGCTTGAGTACAATTTTCAGGAATTAAATGTGCTAACTAGTGGACCCACTGCCCCCAGAAAGTTATCTATCATATGCAGGAGTTAAATGAACAGCCTTGGGGGTAGGAATTGTTTTAGCTTTCAGCTGTATTTATACAGCCTTGGGAATTAGAAAACAATTTAAAACTCGGAGCAATTAAGCTGCCACAGTATCAGTATATATCTAGAGAATGAAACTGAATTAAAGGGTGGTGAAGGTCATCAAAGTGAGTTGTAGCATTTTATGCATTAATATAGTATTTTAACCAGCAGCTAAGATAATCCCTTAATGTAAGGATGATGTGCCACCAAACTGGAATATATATACACTTTGTTACTAAATTCCATTTAGTGTAATTCAATACATCTTCTTTTAACAACTGCAAGCTCTGAAGAGAAACTGGTATTTTACATGGCATTATTCAGAATCTTTTTATAGTTGGAACTTTTATAGCTACTGCAGACAACAAAACCGGCAAGGCCTTATCTTTGAACATGTACTGCTTCTTTGGCTACTCCTGTCTGTGCTGGAACTCCTGCAACAACTGCCAGCAGCTGCTTTTCCCACTGGTGGCTTCACTCTGATGATTGTTTCTCAAGAAGTCAATTTGCAACACCTGTACACTCCTTACTTGTCTCTGCAGCTATAATTAAGTACAGCATGGACTAAAACATGACCACAAATGCTTTCAGACATTTCTTACAGAATTATATTGTCTGTTCAGAAATACTGTTTATGTCAAGTACTGAATCAAACTTGTTTCTTTTTTGTTTTGGCATTGCTACTGCTGTGCCTCATGCAGTAGCAAAGCAGAAGCAGTAGGTCTTCTGTGATTTGTGAGGGCTTTCAGCTTTTGATGGGATGGTAGTTGGAACAAAAATTATTTAAGACCTTTCATATTCACAAGTGGCAGCTGAATTAGCAAGTCTTCCCTGTTCGATATTTGCTAAGTTATTGTTTTAAGAACTGCAAGCTCTTGTTTCTCGAAGTGAAGGTGGTGTTCCCACAAATAAGCACATTTATTTCCCACTGTAGCAAAGATTAGTTAAAGTATTTTATAATGCTAACCTTGGCATCCCTTCTTAATGTTAACTGGAGTAAGTCTGATGTCCATCTAAACATGGATCATATTGCCTTGTTGTCTTCTGAGGTTTTTGTTTTTGTAACTGTTAAAAGACTCGGGCGTCTGTTTCATACTGGTAGTAGGAACTCAAGTTTCCTACTGCTTTTAGTAACTTAGAATTGCTGAGAATCATCAGACTGTCATCTTTTTATAATGCTTAGAATTATACTTTTGCAGTAGGAACATCAACAAATTACCACTTACTATTTAGTGTTTTTTCCCTGCTTTACTGGGGGTGATGGCATTTTTTGGGTGCTGATCACAGCCACCTCTGTGCATGGATTCACCAGTACAGACAAAGAACTGCAGTGAGAAAGCAGGCATTGATTGTTTCATCCACACTTCTATCTGCCTATATTCAACTGATTCCCTAATAAGAAACATCCATTGACTCTGGTAATGGTCAAGCAAAGGCCTGCAGGAAAACAGTGTTCGTGCACAATCCTTCAGCACTGTGAGGAGTCTTACATAATTTTGAGTTTTTCATAGCTAGAAGAAGATAGCAGTGATAAATCTTGCAAGCATTTACAGAAGGTGGTAAATTTGATTTTTTTAAAAAAAAATTTTTTTTCCCACTTATTATATTTTGCGGATCTTTTAGGAATAGTCAACCAACTCCCCTTCACCAGGGGGTCTTATAGTGATATACATATTTAAAACTGCTAAGTTAAGCCATTTCCTAGAACAAGGGGCCAGTAATGGTTGTTACTGTTGACAGTTTATTGTCCGGTCTGTTCTAAAGACCACTGATGTTGGAAATTCTGCAAGTTACCAGGTATTATATTCCAGTGCTTCATTTTCCTTAGTTTGAGACTAATTGTCCTACCCACCACAAAGAAGATGAAAGCATTGTTCTCTCTAGTTTGTTTACCCCTTTTTCCCTCTCTCTTCCTTGGTTAAACAGTCCTAGTCTTTTCTTTGAATGTTTTCATGTTTTCTACCTCAGTGCTTTCCTATGGACACTCCAATATTTTCAGATTTTCTTGAGCCCATTGCCTGAGATTGGCTATAGTGCTTCTACTTAGTACTAGATACCCTCATCAGTTGAGTGGGGGGGCTGTTTCATGTTTTGCAGTCCGTATTCCTGTGTAGGCATCTTAATGCAGTGATTGCCTCTTTTCGTTATAGGATGATGCGTAGATTAAAGTTCATTTGTGGTTATAGGGTACCTTCATACGTGACTCTTGACAGACCTTTTTATATTTATTAACAACTACTTTTGAGGAAGGGCTGAATGTAATAAATGTAAGAGCAATTTATGAGCCTGCCATAAAGTTACAGTTTATTCTTTTTTGCAGGCTGCTATGGTGCTCAAAACCTTGGGGTATAAAATGCTGATTCTGTGCTTAGTTTCCTTGTATAACACTGATTTGCTCTGCTGATCTGCTCCACCATCCCATGCCCTCTTCCCACAAGACTGATGTTTTAGTACCTTTATGACTCTTCTTTTCAATTCAGTGAAGAAATAAAAGGAAAGGTTTTTCTGTCTGAATCAGAATGGTAATGAAAACATCTTTTAAATGGCTTGCAAATAACATTGAGCTAATATTTATATTTGTAATTCTTTAGGTGTGCCATCTCAGAAGCACATTTGAAATTTGGTCTAGGAGATGAGTGCTTAAGTAGGATACATTCTGTTGTTGGTTGTGGTAATGTGACATCAATATTGTCAGCTGTTGGGGGATGCAAGTTTTTTTGTTACTGTCCTTGACTAACCAAGTTGGGGGCAAATTCTAGAACTGTGTTGCAATGCATGCTAATGTATTTCTGTCCCTTACAAGATGGGTTAGTAATAAAATATTTCTGTCTCTGAAATATAATTACTTCTGACAAATAGTTTTTTTTTTTTTTTCCCTTTCTTTACAGATATTTTCCAACTTATCCCTGAATGAGCGTTGCCTTTCAGCGTCATTAGTCTGTAAATATTGGCGTGACCTCTGTTTAGATTTTCAGTTTTGGAAGCAACTGGATCTCAGTAGTCGTCAACAGGTATGATGGTATCATTGTGGAAAAATTGTGTTTTAATCACTCAGAATTTGTTCCCAGAACTTGTACTCTTGACCACAGGTAAATGGAAGAAACCCATACAATGGTGATGTCCCTGCTTTCAGGGTTTTTTCTACTAGAGGCTGAAAAACATAGAATCGTTAAGGTTGGAAAAGACCCTTAAAATCATCGAGTCCAACTGTTAACCTATCACTGTGAAGTCCACCAATAAACCATGTCCTTGAGCACCACGTCTACCCTTCTTTTAAATACCTCCACGGATGGCCCTGGCTCAACTTGAGGCCATTTCCTCTTGTCCTATCACTTGTTACCTGGGAGAAGAGACTGACACCCACCTCGCTACAACCTCCTTTCAGGCAGTTGTAGAGACTGATAAGGTCTCCCCTCAGCCTCCTCTTCCCCAGGTTAAACAACCCCAGTTCCCTCAGCTGCTCCTCATAAGGCTTGTGCTCTAGACCCTTCACCAGCTTTGTTGCCATTCTTTGGACATGCTCTAGCACCTCAATGTCCTTATTGTAGCGAGGCGCCCAAAATTGAACACCATATTCAAGGTGTTGCCCCACCAGTGCCAAGTGCAGGAGGACGATCACTTCCCTAGTCCTGCTGGCCACACTATTTCTGATGCAAGCCAGAATGCTGTTGGCCTTCTTGGCCACCTGGGCACACGGCCGGCTCACGTTCAGCTGGCTGCTGACCAACACCTGCAGATCCTTTTCCACTGGGCAGCTTTCCAGCTGCTCTTCCCCAGGCCTGTAGCATTGCATGGGGTTGTTGTGACCCAAGTGCGGGCCCTGACACTTAGCCTTGTGGAACCTCGTACAGCTGGCCTTGGCCCATTGATCCAGCCTATGCAGATCCCTCTGTAAAGTCTTTCTACCCTCCAGCAGATCAACACTCCCAACCAACTTGGTGTCGTGGACCCTTATATTAACTCCTTTGAATGTAGTTTCTTTTGACTGAGATCAGTTATTAAACAGTGTGAGGAGAAATACTGTTTGAGATGGATTGTGGGTTACCTGTCTCAGTTCTGCATCAGGTAGTGGTAGTTCCATTCATAAGAACTATCAGATCTCATGTTAATTGAAAGATGTACATGAGCTTTGCTGTGGATGCTCTAGTTTGAAGACTGGTCACCTAACTAGTGCTTGCTCAGTCTGTTTTAACAAATTTTCTTTAATTTTAATTCAACTGATGTGGCTCCTACTGATCAGAAGACATTGTGTCTTTTGGCCTTTAGCTGATCCTAGAATTAAGTATGTCTGGGATTCATGGATTTCATTTAGTGAGATCCTTACAGAGCCTAGCCTTAGATTGTTCAGGGTAAGTTTCCTCCTTGGAAAACTTTTTTAAGGATGCCCATGTTGTTTGGCCATCCTCTTTAGGTTTTATCGTTAGTTACTTGCAGAGGTTTATAAAACAATTTATTGAGAGTTTAATGAAAATATAGGGTGCAGGGGAACAACCTTTGGAGGGTCCCATTTGAAGAAGCAGCAACATGAACTCATCTATGTTGGACATAGAGAATGTACATGGGATATTATTTTCAGATCATCAATTCATAAGCAAGTGTGCAAGCTCTCTTGCTTCTAGAGTACTAGTTAACATATTTCTGAAACACTATGGAAAAGTTATAACAGCAGATTGTCTGATTTTTCTGAAGTGACTCCGAAGCACACTCAGACCAGAGGTCCATCTTTTTGCTCTGTAGGTACTATGTGTCAAATCAGTCTTCCTTCATTGTCTTGAGGTGTAGCCTTATTTCTACTACAAAGTTTTTTAATGGTTTTTCGTATTAGGTATGTTGGGATCTCACTAAAGTTTATCAGTTATGGCGTTGCCCTAAGAGACCTATCTTGCCAATTTTTCATTGAGTTCTCAAACCAATATTAAGCACAAATGTTATCCTTCTCTGTGTGTAGGGAGGGTTTGGTGGTTTTGGATTTTTTGGTTATTGTTGGGTTTTTTGGGGGCAGAGGTGTTGGTTTGTTTGTTTAGGTTTTGGTTTTGTTTTTTGTGGTGTGGTGGTTTGTGGGTTTTTTTGTTTGGGTTTTTTTGCAGTTTGTTATGTTTTCTAGCTAACAGCTGCCTGATGATATAGCAACAGAGATAAGACTTGCGACTAATGGAAAACAGATTGAATGCAGTAAAGAAAGTGTTTATTTCTCAGCTGTGTAAGAGAAAAACAGAAGGAATTCATGTTGCTCTCTTGCCTTCTCCAGGCTTAAAACTAAATCTCATCTATGCTAAGTGGTGGATAAGTATGCCTGAATGGTTTTGTTAGAAAGACTTTTGTCATATGCCACCTCAGGTTTCTTGAAAATAAACTTTTAAAGTGAGGAGTTCATTGTGTTTTACCTGCTTTGGTTTTGTTTGTTTTGTTTAAACTTATAAGCTTGAGTTCGGAGACCATGAAGAATATCTTAATTTCTTACCTGCTTTGTAGGACTGGCTTCTCTTAACGTTATTGGCATGTTAGCTAACTAGAGTGTGTACAGAGACAAAGTGGATAGAATCTTTTTTTCTTCAAAGGAGCTCTTGGAAGATAGTGCATGTATCTGATTTAATAGTCTTTCATAGACTAACATTAAAATGTGCAAGTATTCTGTTTTAAAACTGAGCGAATAACAGGAGGAAACTTCTGGGTTTTAATTAGTTTTTTTTTTTTCTGTTACGGTGTTGTTTCCTTCTCACCCCTTTCATTTGCTGCTACCTTAGGTGACTGTTTTCCATTGTTAAGAAGCCCATTGTTACCTGCATCACTGTTGTATTTGTCTGCTGGCACTTGGTTTTGGATGATTACCATAGCCTAAGTAAAAACCTATTGCATTTTAAAGACATATAAACCCTTTACTTCTCTGTAAATGCTACCTTAGGTATGTAAGTAGAGTGCTGCTATAGAAGGGCAAGCAAATCCTTTTCTTCTAAAGGATGGAGAATTCTTTGTCTAAAATATGAAGAGGATCATTAACTGTTATTCTCTCCAAGTGTTGGAGCAGAATTCCTTAAAGGTAACTGTAAAAACTGATCATACCAATACACTCTTATCTTGGAAAACAACTCTTTTCATTGTTCCGATAGCTTATGTAAATGCATCTTAGAAATAGGAGTTTTTGTGCTAATGAAATTAAAGATGTTTATGAAAAAAGTTAAATTTTAATATTTGGATTTTCTTTACAGGTTACTGATGAGCTGTTGGAAAAGATAGCATCAAGAAGCCAGAATATTACTGAAATCAATATTTCTGATTGTCGCAATGTATCTGATACAGGAGTATGCATATTAGCAATTAAATGTCCCGGACTCCTAAGGTATACTGCCTACAGGTGTAAACAGCTTTCTGACACCTCTATTATTGCAGTTGCCTCTCAGTGTCCTCTTCTTCAGAAAGTGCATGTGGGCAATCAAGACAGACTCACTGATGAAGGCCTAAAGCAGGTAACCATCCATTCCACAAATTTCTGTTGTAAATTTAATATCTTTCAACTTCTTACCAAGTACAAAAGGGGACATGGAAGAAGATACTCTCTTCTAGGATTTAATTAACATCAGATGACCTCTCCTACTTTAAAAATCGGTTTATGGACATGTTTTCTTGGTGCAGTAAATGCTGTTCTCTAGAGACTATACATAGTTGGTTGGGGTTTGTTTTGTTTTGTTTTGTTTTTATATCCAGGGATTAAATGATCCCTATTATAATGAAATCTCCAGTTTGACATCCTGTACTTCATCTCTGGCTGAGTGAGTTTTCCTGAGCTTAGTTGCTATTTGGAACCAGTGTTTAAGTAACTCTTTTTTGCACCATGAAAGCCGAAGATGACTGAGATCTTTATTTGTTAGGCATGCAGAAAGGTTTCATCAACTGTCTCTCTCTTGTGTTAAAGGAGCATTTAGGGTAGGCTGTGAAGGAGTTATGTTAAATAAAATAGGCTGTCAATGGTCTAGCATACAGGCATTGTTAGCTACTTATATGTATACCCAATAAATAACTTGGTTCTTATGTACTGCTCTTAGTTCCATTTTGTTGACTGCAACTTCATTTTGTCGTGTATGTAATTATCTTTCTTGTTTGTGTATAGTAGTTACAAAACCTGTAAAGAAAGATAATTTGGGGGGGGGGGGCAGAGAAGCAGAAAGAAATCTTAACTCCCAGCTCTCCAGTTCAGTCAAATCCTGTTGATCTTTTTCCTTTATTCTTAAATACTTGCTTTGATTTCATTAATTGCAGCTTGGTTCAAAATGCAGAGAACTGAAAGACATTCATTTTGGGCAATGTTACAAGATCTCAGATGAAGGAATGATCATTATAGCTAAAGGCTGTCTGAAGTTGCAAAGAATATACATGCAAGAAAACAAATTAGTAAGTACATGTTATGATTTTTTTTTTTCCACAGCGTTTTCATTGTCAAAGCTTTCTCTTCCTTTGTGTCTGTTTAAAACTTTCTTCTAAATAGCTGCTTTTTGGCAGTGAATTGCTTAAAAATGTTCTCTAGCTGTGAAAATTTTGGTTCTACAGAGATAGCTCAGAAGATGACTTGAAGTACAAGTTAAGCTAAAGCTGTTTCAGGTATATATTAACTTTCGGTTTTGACGTGTTGTTCCAGGAGTAATTGTTTGGGAGATGCCTGATTTGTGTAGGAAAATACTTAATCCATACAGAAGGTTTCTTTTGTTTATACCTGTACGTTTTTCTATAGTAAAAATTGCAAACTTCCCTAAACTAAAAGATTTTTGGAGGTTGAGTTCTTGACTACAAAAAATACACTCTGATAATCTTTTTTTGAAATATGTCACTTTCTCATCAGGATGCAGTAGAGTAGTGTGCCTATATTAGTAGTTTAGAGACCCCCTTTTTTTTTTTTTTTTTTTTTTTTTTTTTTTAGTACAGCACTGGCTTTGATTTTTTTTTTTTTTTATATTATTAATTTTTATCTTTTCTTGCAAGTAAGTAGAAAAATTTGCTTGCAGTTGAATTCTTAACTATAAGCTAATGTCAGGGTTATAACCTTTAGTTTTTAGTTTGAAAACTGCTGCACTGGAACAAATAAATTGAATTTGTACAGAAACAGCGTACCTTGTACTCAGAGTCATTTGATATTTGGCTTCAGATAGACAGATAGTAATGCCTAAGATGGTTCATTTGAGAATGGTTTTAAGAAGACAAAAAAAAGCCATTTATTGGGTTTGATCAGAATTGTAGGAAGTTGAGAAATAGGAGATAATGACCAAAACTGAGATCTCGGAGTAGTTCTAATGCAGAAAAAAGGGTGTTTCCTCTCCTCCTGTATCAAAACAAAATCTTGAGTACTGTCAAAATTAGTCCTTGTAGTATTTATCTTAATACATGGAAAATCTTTTAATTAAAAAAAAGGAGAAATGAAAGTTCCGAGAAACCTGGAAGGAAAACATACTCCTGCAAAAATTAACTGGAGAAAGGTATGGAAATTCGAAGTATTATTTATCCTTGAATGAAAGTGGAAGAACGTTTTGTGCATGTTCAAGGTTTGCATAACTGTACTTGATGGTACTTGAAGATTATTGTATGTAGAAACACCTACATAAGTGCATGATCTTTGGAAAATATGAGGGTAAGGTGTTAATTTGGTCTTCCTTATAGATATGCCTTACACTTTTTGCCATTGAAGTTTTTGTTCTCTTTATAGTCTGAAGTGTAGCCTAGGAAGTTGACATTACAATTGTTAGCACTTAAAAGTTCTGTGGTTTTATTATCTGAAGTGTTACCTAAGTTCTCATTTGAAATGGGACATAGGAAGTATCTTCTTGTTTTTAAGACAATCAGGAAAGATGTTCTTCACTTGCACTTTATTTGGTTGCCTTCATTATTGGAAATGTAACATTAATTGTTCATTGGAAATAAGACAAAAATATACCCTCTTAAATGAGTAGGAAACTTCTTTTAATTATTTTGTCACTGCTGAAAATCTGTCAAGTGACTTATCAAAACTAACTCTTTGCACAATTTTTCATTAATATTTTTTTTCTTTTTTTTTTTTTTAATGTCTAATTTTATTTAAGGCTGCTGCCCGGTCTTAATTTTTTGGGAAAAAAATAAACTTGAGGCAAAGTTGGTTTAGCTTTGTAAAGTCCAAACTCAGCTCCTTGAATCTTGGTCTAGAAATGTAAACATGAAATAAGTTATAAAGCTGTTTCGAACTCCAGGGTGTTGAATCTTTAGAATAAAATAACACTTGAATGATTCCACTAGATGACAAAGCTATAGAAACTGATATGCTTTCCCTTTGCTAGGGGCAAGAGACTTTCAAATCTTGCTGGAAGTGTAATTTTGTGTGATGAACCAAGACAACTTGTTAGAAGTTCTTGTGCAGTTGTAAAATAAAAATTTTCACCTTCCAAAAAAAAAAAAACCAACAAAACAACCAGGAATTGTTTAATTGTTTGAAAGGGAGTAATGGTTGGTGGCAAATGATAATGCACTCTTTGATGTGCCAAATTCTGTAGGTTACTTTTGTTTTTAGGACTGCCTTCTAAAATAAAACCAGTTAATATTTGCTGTGGCACATCTTAGTTCCCACTCTTTTGGTGAAGGTGGTTTGAAGAAGTGTGTGTGTTTGTTTTCAAAATAAGTAAGTATTCATTCTCTGAAATCAAATGTTCTGTGGCAAGAAAAGTATACTTGACATAGAAGGGCTTGGTTTGTGTATTTGAAGTTCATAGATTGTCAGTCTGCTATAGGAAGAAGACTCCTTTCTCCCCCCGCCCCCTCTTTTTAAACAGCTTCCATGTAAAGACTGTACATTGAGTCTATGTGTCTTGGTTTTTATTTTCTTATTTCTTCCTTTTTCAGAGGTGCTCAAAGTCATGTGACTCTTACAGACAATTTCTATTAATTTCAAAATATGTAGTCCATTACAGATGGTACATGATGGCTGGGTTTTAATGTAGGCTTTTCTCAGACTAATGGATTTTGTACTTCAAAAATACATCTATACAGAGGCAACCAGCAGCCAAATGATGCCTTTGTGAGTGTTACTTTACAGTGAAATGTGGATCAGGCAACACAGTTCAGTTGCTTCATCTGTTGCTAAGTAACTCTATTATCAGACTGCTGAGCAGAAACACAGAAAGAAGAATTTATGTTACGATTGTTTAATATACTAGGCATTTCACAGAAAAATAGACACTTTCCTTTCTTTGAAATGCTGATTATGTCATGGTAATAAGTGAAACCTGCAATTAATAAATGGGTGCAAAGGATGTGTAAGGAAAAAGTTAACATCGCAAGGCTAACTTAACAACACAAGGTTGTTGTTGTTTGCATAACTGCTTATGATTTGTATCTCTTCAAAATATGTTTATTTTTCCTCTGTCCTTTGAATGGAAGAGTAATTATATGCAAAGCCTCTTTTCTGAAGCACACTGGCCAAACTGGGAACCTAGTGGGGGGGGAAAAAAGAATTGCAGGACTTATGAAGTGTGTCAGTATGTTGAGTTGTCTTTCCGTATCTGTCCCCAGGCCGTTTGATACAATCAAACAATCTCACAGAAAGTCACTGTAAGTGGAAGAACCGATTATAACTCTGTCCAGGCAAAACTAGGAAATTCCCTAGCTTCTTGGTTGAGTTTAGTTGGACTTCTTATTTTATGGTCATGACTGGAATTGAATGCTACGAGTATAACTTTTATGTTTGCCTCATGTGAATGACTGGTTAATGTCAATGAAGCTGGTGGAAGATGAATTGGTTAATTTCACTGTTAACTTTTTACCAACCCCTCTTTTGTCCCTCCACCCCAGAGAGACAGTACATAGCTTCAGCTGAAAAATCAGAGAACTGCTCCACACTAACATGCAGTACTCTCACTGAGACATGGAGTGGGACTCTACTTAACCTGAATTATCAAGGAAAATTAACACTTTTCATTGCAGCCTTCCCTGGAAGAATGGAGCCCTAAAAGGTTTTAAAGGTTTTGTGACTTCTTCATAAAGAGATGCAGAATAAGTTTTGTGACTACAGTGCACCCAATGGGAAGGATTGCTCCTAGAAGCAATTTTGTACAAGCAGTGTGTAAAACCTCCTCTTCCTCATTATGAATAGAGTAGACCTAGATTTGGCAGCCCCATTTTAGAGCTGGGAGAAACTTTCTCCACTTAACTATGTTGATCTTACAACTGATTTCTTTTTCGTTGCCTTTCCTTAACTGATTGACTTAATGGCTAAAATCATAATACAATAATTACTGAAACTTAGCAGGTGGGAGTTATAGATTTGTACCTCCCTATTCCACCCAGTACGTGTGTTTTTTCATGGTGAATTAGATGTGGATGAGGAGAAGGAGCTTCTAAAGATGAAGGGAGATGGAGTTTTAGATACTACAACAGGATGACAACATTCCTACCTCTATGCTTTCTTCCCTTCCTGTCTTCTCTTTTTCAAGCTTGTTTAGGGGTAGATGGGAAACAATACTGCCACTAAGCTACTACAGTTGGAATGCTGGCAGCATTTCTCTGTTTCCAATAAAATGATCTTGTGAAGTAGATGCCTGAAAGACAAATCGTTTGTCTGATGATTCCCTGATACGTTCATTAAGATGCTTGTGGTCTAACTTGACCATGTTTCTAGTTTGTTGTTTGTCTTTCAACTCTGCCAGGAACAGTGTCTACTGTGAGTGGAAGAGATTTCAAGATAGCAAAATTTTGGTCCAATTGGCAGGGTGTTTGATAATCTTTTTTCATGCTCAATGTATGAGAACACTTTTATAGTAAGTATTTTATGGATAATTATTTAATGGTGTTTTTAAAATGAGTATTCTGTTAGTGTTCTGCCCACCTTTGCAGTTTGTAGCAGATAATGCAGAGTAGAAATTTGTTACCTGTGGCGCTATGTTTGATAGAAGCTGTAATACTTAAGATATGTGAATGATACACTTTTTTAGTTTCAGTAAGAAAGAATTAAGATAGACTAAAACAAACATTTCAGATTTATGTGATATAATTAAATACCTAACATACCCTTCTAAAGCATTGACTGTAATCAACCTAGTATAAAAATATATAGGACAAAATAAACTTAATTTTCATGTTTTCTGAATAGTCACAGCACAGTGTAGTGTCTTACATTCTGCCCCCTCCTCCCCATTCTTCATGTTGGAAAGCAGTTCTCTTCTTTGTACATGTGAGCTACAAAACACTTACTTCAGCAGTGTGCCCGAAGGCCTTTGTGCATGACACAGGGCAAACATGGAGAGAAGAGAGTACTTTGCTTTGAGTTTAGTCTAGGCAAATTGATTGAGAAGAGTCAGTATTATTAGGCATATAAACTGCACATCATCCCATGTGAACTACTGAGGTTTAGAATATATAGAAATAACTTACTGTTTCAC